ACTAACTGCCATGTTCCCCATCATGCAGGGAAGCTGCTGCCCAGCTGTTCGATGGTAGTGATGGAGCCTTCTAGCACTGACTGACAAACTCCTGGAAGTCAGTTTGAAGTGGCCGAAATCTTGCTTCAAAGCTAAAGCCTTGTGTGTCTTCTGGAAAGCAGATTTATTTCCAAATAACTGGGCAGCTCAGTCTGTCATGCTGAGAATTGGTGATTTCTGGGAGGAAATTGGGAAAGTTTAAAGGCTTTTTCAGCTGAACAAGTGATTTTTGTTGTAACTCCTTGCTCAGAGGCTCAAGTGTTTTGCTTTAGCGACTTTAAGGCAAGACATTGCATGTGCTGATGAGTTTCAGATACGTCCTCAGAGCTCCAACAAAACAATGATGAAAGTGGTGGTGGAAATTGGGGTATTGGAGCACGCCCTGAGCAAAAGATGAAGGTACCTAATGTTTTTCTGATCGGTATTTATGGGGTAACTAAATGCTCCAGATGTGCAGGCTGCCTGCTCGGAGACAACCCAAGAGCAGCCAATATTAAAGGGCCTGTAAATGAAAAAGTATCGTTCAAGTAACTCTTTCAAAATGGTGTTGTCTCGAAGCAAACTCCAACTAAATATCAAGATGCTGGAAGTTGGAGAGGCTTACTGGAGGGAAATTATAAAAGCCAAAGGCTGTAGTACCACTTGTAGAAAGCTTGTCAGGGCGCTGTGTTTTGCTTCAGTATAAGGCTTGTGTTGCAGAAGGCTGTTTAGTTGGAAGATGCCAGCAGCAGAACGTTGTAATTGAGTTACTGAAGTATTCAGAGAATGTGTTTTTATTTGTAATCCGCTGATATTGCAAGGCTCAAGAGAACTTATTACTGACCTTAAAACAAGAGAGTTAAAATGGGTTATTAGATCTGAGACACGTTTCCCACAGGAATTTAATAACGGAAGATGGCACGGTAGGGTTATGTCTGGTTTTGTTGTTAAATGTAAATGTAAAAATGGGAAGAATGTAAGAAATTGGGAAGTATACCTGCTTCTTGTCTGATACTTCCCACGACAGGTCACCTGATTCGTCATAGTCCTAAAACCAAGCACCTTAAACTACAGTGAACTTGGCCGTCCTACCAGTTAAGAAGTAAATTTCATATACCTAGCCCTCGGTGACCCTCGGAGTCCCTGCAATTGCTTCAAGTCAAAGAGCAGCAAGTTACTTCTGAAATCTTAAGCTGTGCCCTCAAAAAAAATAGGCTTTGTTTTCCATTTTTGCAGCACTTCAGTGCTTCAGCTCTTCGCTTTTACCTTTTTGAATTCAGTGCTCATAAAAGGATGAGAAAGTAGTCAGAAGCTTGCCTGTGAAAAAGCAGCTAAGTGGTGACACTTCTGAATGCCAGTCCAATTTAGTCTCATCTAATAGACATCCCTGTAGGGAATAAGGTGGGGTGGCAGTAGAAACTTATTTGCTGCAGTAGATTAAATCTTAAAAATGAAGAGCGCTGCTTAAATTGTCAAAAGAGCTATACCTCATGCTTTTTGGCAGTGGAAGATGGCATCTTCTTCTGCCTTTGGACGGGGAGAGCAATTGGGAGAGTCTGGTTGTCCTTGGAGGTGTTGGATGAGAAGGCTCTGGGGAGTGAGGACGTGGACCTCAGTGAGCGATACCAGAGTGAATTGCTGTGTTGTGTATCTCAGCTCCTTGGGGTAATGCTTTCCAGCTTTGCCTCTAGAAGCCTGACCTTAATGTCTTGCTGAAATTGCTTTGCTTGGATATTTTTTTTTTTTTTAATTGCTGAAGTCTCTGACAGAAAACCTGGGGGAAAGGAACTAACAACATGGGTTTGGATTTGAGGGAAGTGGTGTGCTGGTCTGGAGAGGGGGGAACTCCCACCCTGGGGTAATAAAGTGCTCCCCAGACTGTAGGTCTTTTCCTCCAGCCTGCACAGGCTGGCACAGGGGTTGATTTATACTTCGTGGAAACATTCTGCAACTTCAGGCAGACCTTGGACCATTGTAGTGTTGGTCTCTAATGTATATGGAGACTCGTATCCTAGGCTTCCCTAAACTAGACGTTTGCATTGGTTACTGCAGTCTTATTACTGCCCCTTGGTTGGGTGCTTTTGATTTGGAAGTGGAGGTGAGGTGGGGAGAGGAAATGCAGGCTGTGGGTACGTACCTTTCTGCTAGAGGAAAGGTGACTCTGCCTTGCTGTCAGTTCTGCAAAGCTCAAACCTGTTGCTCGTGTCTTCAGCAAAATGTGACTGAGGAGCCGAGACCCTGGATATTAGAATCCCATAAGCCTTGTGAAAGGAGAGGCGTGGGGAGCCTGCTGAGATGTTTGCCTTGCTGGCTGTGATTGAGCATACACTTAAGCACAGTCTAGTTGGTCTTGTCCTTAGCTAGCATCCCACAAACATAAGCTAGGCTTGTGTTACACTGCTTGGGGAAGCATGGGGAGAAGGGGACTGATGTGTAGGGAGGAAAGATGTTAATCACACTCTGCCCCAAATCTGTTCCCTTTGTTCTGCTCGGTTAAAAAAGCAAAGTGGATGCCACTTCCTCTCGATTCTCAGAGATGCGGATGATGTAGCCCCCAATTTACCCTTCCTACCTCCACTCCTGCTAATGTGTTGCACTGAGCTATGGGACTAGCTTAAAGGTCGTGTGTCTGGACTTGTGTAAACACCCCATCACCTTTTACCTCCTGGGCACGTTACACACCATTCCTGATTCCTGATGTTAACGTGCGTAGCCCCTTCCGTGGGGGTTGTAACAACTTTCCAAAAGACTCCAACAAGGCTGTTTTTAAGTCTGAATCCTGTTGGTGCTATGGGATAGTATTATGTAGGGAGAAGAAAAATTACCAGGGCTGGACTTTAGCCAGGACATCGTAGGGTGAATGCTAGACCCTTTTTTTTTTTTTTTTTTTTTCCCAAACGTGCCATTGCATCTTTAATTACAAGGTTAAGACCTCTGTTTTATGACTCATCTGAATAAACAGCATCTCCAACATAATTGCCAAAGCGTGTTCCCTAGGGGACTGTCGCTCATTAGTGACTCAGAGGGACAAGTGCCACCCAATGAGATGGCACTACCTGCTGTAATACCCCAGCCTTGCCCTTTTCATGCCTAGTCCAAGCACCTACCAAACCAGTCTCCTGTAAAGGTGTGATGTCAACCCAGGCAATGCTGGAAACCAACCAACTCTGAATTCCTGCTCACTGGGCACGATCAGCCCATAAAAACTGAGAATTGTGGAATGGTTTGTGTTGGAAGGGACCTTAAAGGTCATCAAATAGGTGTGTGCAGTTAAAGAAAAAGCAAACAGTATCTCATTTTGCCTAGCGAAGGATGAACATGTTCCTTCAGGCTCCCTCAGAAGCCATAACAGAAATGAGAAATTGATAGACCATCCTGGTGGGAATGTCACTTCCTTGGGTAATCCGTCTGCCTAGACGTATTTTGTTTGTATCTCCGAAATACGTAAATGCAATCATTACACAATGAGAGCCTCTTTAAAAAACTTTCCTTTGATCGTTAGCATGCTAATCAGTCTGGATGGATCTTCTCCTTCCCTTCCAGGTGGAGGGAAACAATTGACTGGTGTAATGGGTGCCCCTTGGCCACGGGGTGCGTTTGTTCCTCCAACCCATTGTTCTGGGATGAACTTGGAACATTGTGTTTCTGTCTTGGACCAGACAGTTGAATTGCTCCTGGGTTTGTGTGTGTGTTGGTTTTGTGGTTTGGGTGTGGCTTTTTTTTTTTTAAGTGGTCATCACAGCGGCCCTCCAGGAACCTATGCAGCCAGATGCTGTCTGCTTTGACAGGTCTGAGCCATGCTGGGCTGTGACAAGCGTAAGAGCTGGAAGGTGCTGCCGTCACTGGTGTTACTTGTATCCGTCTGGCACACAAAGGCTCCCGGTGGACCAGGATGAATTATGATGCTTGAAAACGTGGCACACTGTAAAAGGAAAAAAAAAAAAAAAAAAAAAGGCACATAACCCGTAAGCCAAAAGCTATGGGGTAGAGAAAGGGTCTTTGGGAAACAGTCTCATACCTCAAACGAAAAGCAGGAAGCCTAATCTACAGAACAATAAAGCAGGCAAAACCTCTTTCCTTGTTGGCCCAAATTCATCCCAGGCTTGCGTAGGTAATGTTTGATTAGCCTAATGAAGTGGGGAAAGACAGGGCAAATCTATTCCTCTCTTTTGATTGCATTTTGGCTGGGAAGAAGCATAGAAAGAGGCAGCACCTAGTAGCAGCCTTCTAAGGGACTGCTTGGGTGACTCTTAGTCGAGGCTTGAAACAGAGCTCTGTTAGCTCGCTGTAAAATGGGGCATGCACCTGTGCAGAAAAGCTGGTGCGTCTAGCCCACGCAGTCTGAACTGTCAGATACTGTTAGGATTCTAACAGCCAGGCTGGGCTTGGGTACCAGGCTTTGATCACACCTGAAAGCAGGTGCTCCTGTGCTGTTTGAACATCTCTCTGCATGGTAAATACCCACTTTGCCAGCAGTTAATTGCAGAACTGACTCACTCGCCTAATAAAGTATGTTCCATAATGAATCATGGGGCTTCGGTCCTGGTGCTGCTGTGTTTTGTGGGCTTGCTCTTGGACAGTGTCATTTCCCATTTGTGGCTTCCTCGTGAGACCCTGCTGGTGCAGATGGTGTTTGCGGGACCCCTGCTCAGGAAGCGGGCCAAGGAAGGCTACAGTGGCCCTGGTGCTTATCTTCAAGTGCCAAGCACTGTTTTGGGATATCCTAATGATTAGGAGCAGCAGAATAGGATGTGAAATTCTGTTCTCATCTAAATTGAGTTGTTTTTGTCTAAATTAAACTGGTTCTTTTTCATCTGAGCATAAGCTACAACCTTGACTTCATTATGACTTGTAAGTTTTATAAAAGCCTTGTAAATGTTTAGCTTGTATTATTTTTGGATGTGCTCGTTCAGGTTTGCTACGTCACTGAGGTGATCAGGCTTGTCGTGATCTTTAGTCTTGCTGTTTTGTGGTCCCAGCCCAAAGATGTCTGGGACTGCTTGAAAAAAGTTAAGCTGTGACTGTACAGGATATTCTGGTAAATGCTAAAGTAAATAAACAAAAGGTTAAAGTTGCCACATTCAGAAAATCTGATGCCTGGCGTATTTTGGGGCTGGGCCTTCTGCTGTAATCTGGGCTTTCTGCTGTAATCCAGGCTTTCAGTAAGGTGAAGCTATTCAGCATCTTGATGATTCTGATGTGCTTTTTTTTTTTTTTTATCTTTTTAGAGTCTCCACCAGCAGCGATGTCAAGAAATGGATACTTCTTTGAAGAGAGTGGCAAGTATTGTTTGACTTCTTTATGCATAGTGTTGCCTTATTGGAGGGAGAGCTGCACTACAGGGTTAGCTGAGAACTCGAAGCAGGTCATACAGAATCCATTTAGTTTAAGCAACGTGTGAAGACGGTCTTACGTGGTGGTTGTGTAATCTTCTACTGGAAGCAGACTCTGTTTTTAAATCCTGTAGATGTTCTAGATATTCAAAGCAGTAACTAATCATCTCCACCTTGTCATCAGTGACTATTCTGGGTGGCTCCTTGTTTTTCAAGTTTGTTCATGATGTTTTCCTGTAAAACAGGCTGGCAGGTGTAATTGTTTTCTTTTTCTGGAGTGGAGATTATGTGTAGGTGTTAGATCCCTTTGGAGACATCTTGCCAAGAGCATCAGGCAAATGTTGGGTGGCTTTGGTAAATGCATCTTTTGGTGCAAAGTGCTCTCTAAGATTTTTTTTTTTTTTTCCTTTGAAGCAAGATTAAGTTGTGGCACTTGGAAGCTTCTATCATCTGCCTCAGCAAAGGTGGCTGAGCTCTCCAAGATACTGTACTGATAAAGGGCCAAAGCACTGTACAGCCAAACTTGGAAGTCCTGACTTCTCTGCTGATTCTGGAGAAATGGAATGTGTGGGGATTGTTAGGAAGAGATAAACGTGAGAGTTCAACTCAAGACCAGCCTCTTTGGGGTGTACTCTAAGGGCCTGGGGCGGCTTGTCTTTGAGGGGAGGTAGAGTGCTTGGAGTATTCAGAACTTCCAAATGGTGAAAGCGGAAGACTAAAATGCTCCAGTTATTTCAGCCCGTAGATGCTTGTAGCTGTCACAAGGCTCATCGTCCTTGTTCCAGGGAGCCAAGTCTTTGGTTAACATCTGGGAAGGGGAAGCTGAATGTTTGCCAGATGTCAGCTGCAGTAGGTCCAGCATTGACAGTGCTTCCTTTGGCACTGGCTCACTTGCCTTCTCTGAAAGTGTTATAAGGAGCCAGTTTCTAGAAGTTAAAAGGGTGAAACCAGAAGCAAATATTGTTATCGCTAGTAAGAGGTCTCTTCTGAAGGCTGGATTGAGTTACAGAAGGATGGAAATTAATGCCTGAGCTCAGGGAGGTTTTCTGAGGGCATGTGGGGCATGAGGTGTGGGTAGCCAGACTCCTACCTCCCCTGGTTTGTTTGTGGCCCCTTGGGATGTGGCTAGTGTTTTCCTGACGACCAGGAATGTAAGAGTTAGGACCCGGAGAGATGACTAAACCTTTTGTTTCTGGCTGAGAGCAGTGTAAGGGCTTGGGGAGGAATGCTGCTCTATGATTTGGAGGAAGGACAAAGTTTTTCTGAAGCCACCTACTTCATCCTAAGTCCTCCTACCCCAAGGAACACAGGCACAGCTGCCTGTCCTAGTATCTTACATGGAAAGGCTGTATATGCTCCCATCTAGGACAAAATGTCTTGTTTTCCTCAAACTGTCCAAACAGAAAAAGCAGATCTCTGGATGTTTTTAGAGCACGTGTTTAGCTGCGGCATGCTCTCCTAGGAGATAGGCAACTTGGTGCCATGGCAGTGAGCATCCTTCTGCCCTGTTTGTGCTATTAGCCAGCACATTCCTTTGTGGTAAGGAGATGACACCTTAGAGCTACCATTACGGACTTGATGAAACTGTGCATGCTTCTTTCCTGTTCTGCTTCTGCATGGTTTGGGGGAAGGAGAGAAGGTTGCAAGTTCCTCTCCAGCCTGCATGAGATACTGCTGTATTAATTGTGATGGAGAATACAGTGGATTTCTTGGTTATTTCACGCTTAAATCTGTTGTCGTTCTTGTTCCTCATTACAAACTGACCTTTTTGAAAAGTTCAGTTGCTGTTGAGTGATGAGTCACCTTCTACTGCCTGATTTAACTGAGGGCTCGTGTGTTTCTGCACAGAATATGTGGACAGCGCATCTTGGGGGTTGCCAGCATGGATGTTCACATCCCTCTGTGAGGCAGTGCTTTGGTGCTCTCTGTACAGAAGTTTCGTGCACTGAGATTCTTGAAGATTAACCCCAAAAAATATCAGAGCTGGAGGAAATGGCAGAGAAAGAAGTTACCTTTTCACATAGTTTCAAAACTGCTTGTTTTGAAATGGAGCTACGTAATAATTAAGATGTTTCTTGGCATCACTTGTTTGGATCTGACAGATTATGGAGACCAAGAGATGCTCTTGCCCCACCTTTAGAATAAAACCAATCCCCTAAGATGTGTGTTGAGTGAGGGCAGAGAAAAATCTGATTTCCTTAGCACTTAAATTTTTCCCCTTTTTTGGAGAATCATCGTTTGATACTGTTGCTCTCTGCACAGTTGAGCTTTTTCCTTATCTCCTCTTGAGATCTTGCATATACATATGGTTTTCTGTATCCTTAGTAATTAGGATGTTTTTGTTTCTGACCATATCTGAGGCTCTGTTCAGAGTCTATGTCTGTCTTTGCCAGCTAACTTTTTTTCATCCTCTTGTGTTCTCTATAGCAGCTGCAGCAATGTTAAAAGTTGAGACTTCAGTTTTAGTTTGAACTGTTGTCGCGAGGGTGATCTTGGCTGCAGCACCAAAGCAATGCTTTGTAAGAATCTCCTGGATATTTGCTGTTCATAGAAACTTATAAAGTATTTAATAACTTGTAGCTCTGTTAATTACTGAGGAGTCGAGGAAAGTCCAGGAAGGATTTTTCTAGTGAATGGATGTTAATATATGATGATTCTAGAAGTTCAGAGGGATGTTATGGTCCCAACCATGTACTAACCTACTTGATAACTTCTCAATTGGCTAAAAATTTGCCAGGTTAATCAAAGGAGCCCATGTCTTTAGCTACAAGTTCCAGTTTCCAGCATACTCTGGTTTTCCCCTGCTGCTGAAGAACTTGACTGAAAGCTACTTTCACGGCCTTTAGCACATTGCAAAAGGTAAATGCATGCAGTGTGACTGGGGAAAAAAATAATCTGGTTAGTAGTTTGATCTGTAGAAGCAACATTAAGAGGAAAAAAAAAGGACATGAGTTTGTGCCTGCCCAGTTAGAAGTTTCTGATGAAGGGTGTGGTGGCAGCAGGTATGATGGCAGCTCTTGGTCGTGTTCAGTTTTCAACCCATGTAGATATATTGTCAGTTTGAATAGCAGTCCTCTGGCACATCTTGCTGATGAAAATCCATGGGTTTACTAATTTTTTCTGTGGAACAAACCTCTTGCACAAGCAAACAAATGAAGTCTGGCCTTTGCACAGTAATAGTTGGTGTTGCCCTACCTGCCCCATGATTAGGTTGTGTAAGTCACTTGTATCCAGGTTATTTTGTCAAATGAGTTTTCTTCCTGACAGATTTAAGTGTCTAATGAGATGATTGTGTAGACCCAATCCAAACCTGAAGATAATTGGAGTCCTGATGAAATGGAGCTCGGCAATCAGTGTTCAGAATAACTACTCATCAAGCCCCGCATTGTCTTGGCTGTCAGCTTCCTGCACCCTCTGTGGTGGTGGTGGGGGAGTATCCAGTTTCTGCTGCAAGTGGATTAGCTCTAAAGGCCTTGGTATTACCTGCAAGGGGTTCGGTTCAGCCAGTGGACGATGAGCTTTTTGATTGACCCAAGAATTTTCTCTGATAAGACACACAACCAGAGGCTTTCTAGTTCTTCTTGCAAAATCCAAAGGAAGGAGTCCCACTGTAGCTCTGGGGATATCTGAATTGTTGCATTGTTTTAAAGTTGGCCCGACAAATATTGCAGCATAAATTTTTGTCTTCCAAAGCAAATCCCTCACTGCTTGGTCTCCTTTGACTTATTAATTGGTTTTCTGGCACAACAAATCGCAGTTGTGTTGAAGGGCCCCAAGGCCCCAGTCTGGCTTGGGATGTTTGGATATATTTTATCTGCTTGTTTTTGTTTTTCAGTTTGCAGTTCAGTTTGGTATGTGTGCTGTGGGCTTTTTTCTCTTTTTTTAAATTTGTCTTTATCTGTCTTGGAATTGTTTGCCTAGCTAGGAGATTAATCTAAATGTCTTTGTGAAACAAATCCTTTCGCAATGGGTTTCCCCCGATGAGATGCCCAGTTTACCAGCAGGAGATGCACTATTGCTACCTGTGGGGTGCCTGAGGGGGATGGCTTGCAGGTCTCTTGCAGATTTTTATTTCTAAGAACTATCAGGAGGCCTATAATGAAATGAACGCTCCTGATTTCTGTGGGTTCTGGTACAGAACTGAAATTCCACGTGCTGCTGTGTTTTGTAAAAACAAAAAAATAAAAACAAAGCCTCACTGAATTACTTGAATTATTCACAACATTTCCTAGAAATCTGGCTGCAAAATACAATACTGGAATTAATTCAAAAGTGCCTGTGTTGTTGGTTGGGGTGTGTTTTTTTTGTAGCAGATCAGTTCTTTCGGTTCTGTTATGAATTATTACTGAAGTGGCAGAGGAAACTGTTTCCATCTGGCTCTTCATGACAAGAGACTGACTCGAAGTAGGGTTGGAAGCATGTGACTGAAGTTAATGGCTGGCCAGTACTGGAGGGATCTGTTACTTAAAGGATGCAAGTCTGGTCTTGGTGACTTACCTGCTAGATGCTTTGTACCCCTTTCTTACAAGAGGAGGCTGTGGTTTGATCTGTGGTCTTGAAGCACTCTGAAAGCTTAAGTAATGGACTGATGTTTCCATAGCAGGGACTCATTACCCCAAAAGGCTCCAAGCTCATATCTTACAGGTTTCCAGTGACTGCTCAAGAGCCAGGAAGCATGACCCGACACTTCTCCAGCTCTTCTGCCCCTTAAACTACCCATGGAGGGGCTGGGATTTCAGAACACGTCTCTAAATCCCATCTAGATGACCGAGAGAAGTCTACCTGTGCCAATCCATAATATTTAGCTCTAGTAAAGGAGGTCTTCTAACAAGAGCTTGAGAGATAAGCTCTGGACCCCTCTTGCCAATTAGTTGTCAGCAGTCCAACAACAGCCTGTGGGCAACCCATAGGCCCCCCCCCCCCCCCCAGGTTGTCTTCTCTGGGCT